AAAAAAAAAAAAAAAAAAAACACATCATAGTAAAATTAATACCTTCTCAGCTTCGCATCGAAGCTAAAAGAAATCACCTTCGCACAAAATTGCAATAGCTACACAATAAGAATATTTCAGTACAGAAAATAAGACACAAAATACAATAATAGTAATATAAATTGTAAATAGTTTGTATTCATAAAAAATAAAAAAATGAAGAAAACAGAAAACCATAATAAAAATATGTAAAATTTTGTACCTCAAGATAAAAAAGAAATCTTGTTAATTTAGAATTAGCATTGTATAATCATTTTATAAATGTAAAAAAAAATGTGTGTTTTAACATCTTAAACATATAATTATATAATTTTATTAGCTTATAATATATTTTAAATAATATTAAGAGACTTCATAATATCATACAAATAATAAAAAAATGGAACTTTCAATCAACTAGAGAAAAGTTGTAAATATGTAAAATTTAATAATCATAATGTTTAATAATATGTATGTGTACTAACGTCAATTCATTAACAAAATTTGACTACTATCCTTATGTATTTTTTTTTTCTCATATGTATTAATTTGTCCATTCATATAGTTGTGATATTAAATAACATTTAGAATGTTTACATCAAAAAAAAAAAAAAAAAAAACATTACAAAAATCAAAACTTCTATTTCATTACTTAATTTTTAATAACATGTTTAATTTTTAGATGTTTTATTTATTTCAATCCTTTATCATTCCTATATATTATACTTAGAAAAACAAAAACTTTTATGGTATTTAATTATTTTATCACTTTATAACTTAAAACATTTTTATCATTCACTTAAACTTATCATTTTATTATTAGATTAGTATGTTAACTATATGAGACTATATATTAACTCATACTTTTATCTTATTATTTAACATAAGAAAAAAAAAAAATTAAATTACTTTACTTTAACAACCAATATTATAATATATACAGAGTGATTTTTTTATTATAACCCACTCAATTACTTGCAGAATAATAATAATTTAAACATTTTTTTTTTTTATTATCTTTAGTTACACATTATTCTTGAATTTTTAACTATGTAATACTTTTTAAGTTCATCCCTTATGCCTTGGAGGGGGGTCAACTTTGTTTTTTTAAATGGTAACACATATTTTTAATTTAATAAAATGTTTGAGTTTTTAATTTAATAGTAAATGGCATTTGAATTTTTAATATAACTTTATTAGCTTATTAGATATAAACATTTAAAGTTTCAAAATTTCGAGTTAATATACATGTATAATACACATGGGAATGTAAATACAGGTAGCTAATTGGATTTTTATGACATTGCTGTCTCAGTCACGGATTGTTTATTATCAATTATGATTATCAATAGATATACTTTCTGTATTGTCAGTTGGTGTATTTATAAACTCATAACAATGTACCTTACTATCATTGATAATAACAATGCTGTGTACCTGCTAATATCTATGTTATAAAAAACCAATTAGCTACCTATATTTGTAATCCCTTGTATATTATACCTGTATATAACGTACGCCGCAACAGTATTTATAACTATATTTAAGGAAAATTTGGCATGCAAGTGTATGATGAATAAACAGCGAGAGCTTTCACAAAAGTCAAGATATTTAAAATAGTTATCTACATTTAAACTCATAACGAGCTGCATCAATTATTAGTGCCTAAATTCAATTATAATTTATCTGTAAGTGAAACAGCACTTACAAGGCAAGGAAAAAATTCAGGCTATTTTATAAAAGTTATTGCAAAATAAAAAAACTTGTCAAGATATTGTGAAATACCAAAAATTATCACCAAAAGTGTAATGCAATTACAAAAATTAAGTCACCAGAAAATTTTTTTTTTTCAAACTTCGAAGTACATTTAATAAGCTTTAAATTAATAAAGACTAGGAGAACACAAATGTTCTGGAACCTTTTCATAATTGGCTAACAAAATTATACTGTAATATATTATTATGTTACAAAACACAAGGTATAGGTTCCCTTACCTTTACTTAAGTTATTATTTTGATAAAATTTATACCAAAGAGAAGCTTATTGTCTTTAGTATATTATATTAAAATTTCAATAAGATCATAACAAAAAAACATACGACAGTTTTAAAATTTTTTTTTGATTATAAAATATTTTTTATAGTATCATAATATTGAGATATTTTTTAAACATTATTTGACATTGACAAATTTGATTAGATTAAAATCTGGCAAATCAATGTGAATATAATGTATTGGATTTTAGTAATAATTTCAAAGCACTAAATATTAGGAAAGTTTTTTTTTATAGATGCATAATGTTTTAACCTAACATTTGGTATATATTTTTTAAAAATCTGACCCATTACCTGACAACAGAAGGAATTTCAAAATGATATCTTTTAATAAGAATAGGTTTCAATAAGATAATTAAACAAAAAAAGCAACAGCAGTTTTAAAAGGCAAATATTATTTTTGAAAATTGTATTTTTTACAGTAGCATAAATTTGTGAAATATTTTTAAAATTGAGAATGCTATTTAAATTTTTTGGCATTTACAAATTCGATTAGATCAAAATCTGGCAAAACAATGTAAATATGATGTATTGGATTTTAGTAATACTCTTAAACACTACAGATTAGACAAGTAAAATATGAATAAAATTATTATTATGAAATCCTATCATTATTTTAAATATAATGTAATTAGACAAATTAATAAAAAATAAAATCATTTGGACAACCATTTGCAATAGCATATATTATTATATCAATATAATTATTTTGACGAGCTGCAAAAACGGTATTTCTACTCCACGGGCAATTATTTTCATGTGCGTATATTAAACAACTAAATTGATAATTTGCAGCAGCAAGTCTTGTAGTACTTTCGTCCCACTCACATCCATTTTCATGAACATATTTTAGGCAATCTATATGACCATTTGCAGCAGCGGTACTCTTTGTCCCTACATCCCATAGATATCCATTTTCATTAGCAAATATCAAACAGTCAATACAACCACTTGCAGCAGCTTCCCTTGTTGTGCCTTCATCCCATTCACAACCATTTTCAATAGCATATTTCAAGCAGTCAAAACGTCCATTTGCAGCAGCCCCTCTCGTAATACCTCTTACCCAATCATATCCATGTTCATAAGCATATTTTAAGCAATTTAAATTACCATGGACAGCAGCTGTAACTATTGTATCTACATCCCAATAATATCCATTTTCATGAGCATATTTTAAACAATCGAAACAACCATATGCTGCAGCAGCTCTAGTTGTTCCAATATCCCAATTACACCCATTCTTGTGAGCATATATTAAACAATCAAAATTACCATTTAAAGCTGCAACTATAGTTGTGCCATCATCCCATTGGCATCCATTCACATGGGCATATATTAAACAATCTAAATGACCTTTTAAAGCTGCAACTCTAGTTATGCCCTCAAACCATTTACATCCATTTTCATGAACATATTTTAAGCATTCTAAATTTCCATTTTCAGCAGCATCTTTTATTATTGTTTCGTTCCACGAACATTCATTTTCATGAGCATATTTTAAGCATTCTATATTTCCATTTAAAGCAGCAACTTTAGTTATTGTTTCGTCCCATGGACATTCATTTTCATGAGCATATTTTAAACAGTCTAAAGAGCCACTTTTTGCAGCAGCTCTAGTTGTATCTTCATCCCAATTACAGCCATTTTCATGAGCGTATATTAAGCATTCTAAATGGCCGAAACTTGCAGCTACTTCTGTAGTTCTATCATCCCATTCGCATCCATTTTCGTGAGCATATATTAAGCAATCTAAATTATCATAAAGAGCAGCTGTTTCTGTTGTACCTTCACTCCAATGGCATCCATTTTCATAAGCATATTTTAAACAGTCTAAACAACCACTTGACGCAGCATCATTAGTTGTATCATCATCCCATGGGCATCCATTCTTGTGAGCATATATTAAACAATCTAAATTACCATTGGAAGCAGCAGAACTAATTGTACCTTCTGAACATGTGAATCCATTTTCTAAAGCATATTTTAAAATTTCTAAATCACCGTTAAAAGCAGCTACTGACGTTAAACTTTTATTCAACTCGCATTTATTTTCATATGCATATTTTAAGCAATCTAAATGTCCATTTTCAGCAGCAGCGCTTGTTGTTTTTTTATCCCATTTACAACCATTTAAATGAACATATTTTAAATTTTCTAAATTACCATATTTTGCCGCTGCTTCTGCTGTGCTCTCATTCCAAGGACATCCATTATCATGTGCATATTTTAAAATTTCTAAATTACCACTCATTGCAGCATCAATAGTTGTGCCCACATCCCATCGGCATTTATTCACATGGGCATATATTAGACAATCTAAACAGCCACTTGCTGCAGACGCTCTAGTAGTTCTTATATCCCATGGACAGCCCTTTTCATGAGCATATTTTAAGCAATCTAAACAGCCACTTGCTGCAGACGCTCTAGTTGTACCTTCATTCCATTTACATCCATTTTCATGAGCATATTTTAGGCATTCTAATTGTCCATTTGCAGCAGCAGCTTCTGTTGTGCTTTTATCCCATGGACATCTATTTTTATGTGCGTATTTTAAAATTTCTAAATTACCATTCATGGCAGCACCAGTAGTTGTGCCCACATTCCATTTACATCCATTTTCGTAAGCATATACTAAACATTCCAAACTACCACTTTTAGCAGCCTCTCTTGTTGTTGTATCATCCCATTTACATCCATTTTCGTGAGCATATACTAAACATTCCAAACTACCACTTTTTGCAGCTTCTCTTGTTGTTAATTCATTCCATCTACATCCATTTTCATGAGCATATTTTAAGCAATCTAAATGTCCATTTGCAGCAGCATTCTTTGTTGTATTTTGATCCCATTTACATCCTTTTAAATGTACATATTTTAAGTTTTCTAAATTACCATATTTTGCAGCTGCTTCTGCTGTTCTTTCATTCCATGGACATCCATTTTCATGTGCATATTTTAAACATTCAAAAAATCCATTAGCAGCAGCATCCCTTGTTGTTTTATAATTCCATCCACATTTATTTCTATGAGCATATATTAAGCATTCTAAATGCCCATTTCCAGCGGCAGCCCTTGTTGTTTTTTTATCCCATCTACATCCATTTTCATGTGCATATTTTAAGCATTCTAAATTTCCATTTGCAGCGGCAGCTCTTGTTGTTTTTTTATCCCATCTACAGCCATTTTCATGAGCATATTTTAAGCATTCTAAATTACCATATTTTGCAGCTTCTTCTGCTGTGCTGTCATCCCATGGACATCCATTTTCGTGTGCATATTTTAAACATTTGAAATGTCCATTTGCAGCAGCTTCAGTTGTTGTATATTTATCCCACTCACATCCACTTTCGTGAGCTAGTTTTAATGTTTCTATGTCACCATTTGCAGCAGCTTTTTTTGTCGTACCTCTTTCAAATGGACATACTTTTGTGTGTTCTGAATATCTATTTTCAATCCCTAAATGAACAAGAGAATTAATTAATTTTACTGAATATAATTTTTTATTTTGCGTAATAAAATATAAAGAGAAAGACAGTTTAATTATAGTTTTAAAGTTACTAATACTTGCAAAGTATTTTAAAGTGAAACTTCAATTGTGATGAGTATTATTGTCAGATATCTGCGTTATGGGTCTCTATCAATTAACTATAAATTTTTTTATGAATATTTTGTTTTATTAGAAAAAACAAATTGACAATATTTTAGAATATATATTAATACTGTATATTGTTATAATTAAAAATCTAATAATTAATATCAATGTGATATTATTTTAAGTCTTTGACTCATTTATTCTAGTCACTTACGTCAATTAAATTATTTATTATTTAAATATAACTTGAGTAATATAAATAAATATTTGTAAAGATTAAGAATTGATATTTGTTTAATAATTGTAATAAAATATTTTTTTTTTAATTTTTAATTTTAATTACACGAAAAGGTTTTTTAACTGAAAAGTTACTTAGACTTGATTACTATGATTTATGTTTAAGTGTTCTATTACGATAAAAATGCAAAAAAATAATGAGCTTTTCTGATAATTAACTGTAAATAGTAATTATAATATTTCCTGACTGCAATTAGTCTTTAAAATACCATTTTTTTAATTCTCAAAAAATTTCCTATTGAATTATATCAATTTCAAACTTGCAATTGAGCTTAAAGTTATGGCAACACATTAAATTTTTTTTACTATAAACTTTCACAAAACTTTATCAAAAACTTTTCATCAACTTTAAAAGACCGAAAAATAGGTTTAAAATGAAATTTTGGATTGAATATTTTTAACATATTAAAAATTAAAATCAATAATAATTTGAAAACAAATTTTTTTTTCTTTTATTATTTTATTATACATAATTAGTAAATATATAAAAAATTAGAAGTGATACAAAAAGTCTAATTAAAGATTTGAAAATAATGTGAAAAGTTGATTTATAAAAGTATATTTTTGCTTCTGATGAAAGTTCCTTGTAGTACAATGTATTTATACATAAGTAACAACATTTTTTTATTAATAAGTGTTGCATCAATCCTTTTAAATTTTAAAATTGTATTACTGGTTTTGGTGAACTACTACTATCTTGGATTAGTTCCTATATTTGTGACCAATACCAATGGGTAAAAGTATTCGGCGTTAAGTTTAATGTATTTTTAGCGTCTTCTTGTGTTCCCCAGGGAGTTCATTTGTCCCCTATTCTATTTTCCTTATGTCAAGGGCGGCTTCATTTATCAAGATCTGTTCGGTAATTGGAGTCACTTTCCCCCTCTCTCCGGCGACGGAATAAAATCTCAAAGTATAAATGGTTAAGAAAACCTCCTCCCTTGGGAGAAGCCGCTATGGCCCTTAAATGATCTAATAATAATAAAATCAATAATAAAAAAAAGCTTGTCCCAACTATGTGTTGGCAATTTTTTACCACAATTGTAGTGAAAGATATTAATAAATAAAAAAAAAAACCCAGCACAGGGGGGTCGCGGCACAGTTGTGACGTGGTATAGTTGGATCAAGTATAATGATATCTGACAGTGATTAAAATCACTATCAAAAATAAACGCTTCGATGCAAATCTTTAGATAGTGTTTAATTTTAAAAAAATTGGTGTTTTATTCCAAAAGCTACTTGAT